CGGTCCCGGTACCTGCGCGCAGCAGCGTCTCCTTCCCCATCTCCAGGTATTTGGCGAGCCACTCCACGCACACGCCCTCCAGGTAGTTCCTGTAGTGATCTGCCGCACAGGCCACCTCCCACCTGCGGCGGGTGATCTGTGCCGCTGTGTCCGCCGCGGTCCAGGAGCCCAGGTCCTCGTTCAGGGCGATGTAATCCGCGCCGTCATAGGACACCTGACTGTACCCGCGGAGGAGGCGGCTGTTCGGTCCGATGTCACAGCCATACATCCACTGGATGTTGTGTGATCCTGTCCCCGCCCCCAGAGCAGCAGTGATTAAGGTGAAACCTAAAGTAAAACCGCCTATAAGCTCCCTCGGACTCTTCCAGGGTCCTGGGACGGAGGTCACGTGGCCTCGGGGCTGCGCTCAGACCCGGAGAATCGGGGCGGCCCCGGCCCGTCCGTGGGGATGGGGGTCGTGACCTGGACCCGGGCCCTGGCGCTCACCGGAATCGCTCTGGTTGTAGTAGCCGCGCATGTTCTGCAGGCTCACTCGAAATTTCTGTGCGTTGCTCTTCGCGTTCCGCGTCTCCCGGTCCCAATACTCTGGTCCCTCCTGCTCCATCCACCGCGCCCGCGGCTCAGACCTCGGATTCAGGGTGTCGGTGTCGAACCGCACGAACTGCGTGTCGTCCACGTAGCCCACGGAGATGAAGCGGGGTTCCCCGAGGCCGGGCCGGGACATCGCGGTGTGGAAATACCTCAGGGAGTGGGAGCCTGCGGGGGCGGAGGGGCTGAGACCCCGCCCGACCCTCCTCCCCGCGCGGGTCCCGGGTCCCAGGGGGAGGCGACAGGGAGGGCAGGGCGTGGGGGACCCGAGTTGGGGAGAGCAGGGCGGAGTCCGAGAGGGTCGGGGGAGGGCAGGCCAGGGAGGAGCAGGAGGCGGGTGGGGGTCTGGGGTGGGGCGGAGGACAGTCGCCTTCCCCATGGGTCCCGCTTCCCCGCCGGGCGGTCTCCTCGCTCCTGCCCTGCAGAGTCCCTTTCCTCCCGACCCCGCACTCACCCGCCCAGGTCTGGGTCACAGCCAGGGCCCCCGACAGCAGCAGGAGCAGAGTTGGGGGCATCACGACCCGCATCCTCGGGGTCTGGGGACAAATGTCAGCCTCAGGAAGCGGGTGCTGATACTTGATACCCCGGAACCGCGGTGCCGCTGATTGGCTTCTTCGGAAACCAGACACTAATAGTGTGAACCGAGGCCGCGTCATCAGTATCCAGGCAGAAGGACCTGACACAGGTTGTGACAGGGAGAAGTGAAACCAGGGCAGATGGGGACTCCCCAACACTGGGCTTCCCTGCCCCCGACGCCTCCCTGGGGCCAGAGTCCCTGAGAGGCGGCCGGGACCTGCGACTTGGCCTGGACGCCTCACCTACTGCACAGAGCTCTCTTTGTCCTACTGTGTCCCTGAGTCGTGGACCAGGAGCTGCGTGAGTCCCTGATTCTCCAGCATTTTGTTCTCAGGACATCTCTCCAGTCTTACAAATTAGTGAGGATCCCAGGGATAATTGTGTGCCTGTGGATTATATCGATCCTTATTTACCACAGTAGGAATAAAACAGGTTCAAGTATTTATTAATTCATTTACAATCATATGAAAACAGAAATATTGTTTGTATGGGAAGTGACATGTTCCCAAATAAAAGGGGCAGTGAGAATAGTGGTTTTGTTGCATTTTACATTTTTGCAAGTCTCTTTCTTGTCTGTCTCCTTAGAAGACCGCTGGATGTTCAGATTTGCTTCTGCATCTATTGTGTTGTTTTGGCTGAAGTATATGAAAAAATTTATGTCCTTGACCAAATATAGGAGAATAGTATGTGTCATAACCTTTTCAGATAATTATGGATATTCATCCTTGATTCTATATTAAAACTACACACCGTGTATTTTCTTGAGGTTATTTGCAAATTGGAACCTGAAACAGTATCATTGACTGTGTCTTTCTCTGTTACATTAAATCCATAGGCCCATCTGTACATGGAATGGATCTTGTACTAATGCATGAATGTTTTTAAGTCACGTGTCGTGTGTTGTTTCACTAAGTAATATAGGTGTTCCAGCATTGATTAGAGTGGAATTGAATTATCAAAAAGTCATTTGTTCTGGGGCACCTGGTTGGCTCAGTTGGTTAAGCATCTGGCTTTGGCTCAGGTCATGATGTCATGGTCCGTGAGTTCAAGCCCCGCCTGGGACTCTGCTAACAGCTCTGAGCCTGGAGGCTGCTTAGGATTCTGTGTTTCCCTGTCTCTCTGCCCTACCCCTGCTTGCACTCTGTCTCTCTCTTTCTCTCAAAATGAATAAACATTAAAAAAAAATTTTTAAAGTCACTTGTTTTAATATCACAAATCCCAACAAACAAGGTGGTCAGTACTGAGAAGCTGTCAAGCTTCTAGGTGGATCACAGTTTAAATGGGATGGGCTTCATGAGTGATGGGTTCTAAGGAGGGCACTTGTGATGAGCACTGGGTGATGTATGTAAGTAATGAATCACTCAATTCTACTCTTGAAACTAATATTAAACTGTATGTTAACTAACTGGAATTTAAATAAAAACTCGAGATAAAGTAATAGTGAAAAGCAGTGATTGCTCAGTAACCAGCACAGGGAGATGTTCAGTATTTTGTGGGTCGTACGGTGCCTTGTTTTTGTCCGTAATTGGACAAAGTATTGTCATGGTTTCACAGTCTCCTTGTGTGCTGTCGATGTTCTGTGAGATGACTGCCTCATGTCCCACAGGAATAATATGGCCCAGTGGTGGCATCAGCCAGCTTCTGACCACACTGAGACCCACTGTCAGTGTCAGACCAGTTCCCGATTGAGGACTGCTGTTTCTTCTGTCTTTAATTCCATATTTTAAAGTAGCTAACACCCATCAATAATAATTAAAGGGTAGGACTCCTGATCTCATGGTTTGTGAGATGGAGCCCTGTCTCAGGCTCTGCGCTGACAGTGTGGAGCCTACTTGGGATTCTCTCTCTTCATCTCTCTGTCTCTGCCCCTCCCTGCTACTCGTAGTCACTTTGTCTCTCTCTGTCTTAAAATAAATAAACTTTAAAAAAAAATCTGGACGGACTTTTAAATCCTTAAATATTCCCATATACATTGGCCCTGTTAGGGTTCTTAAATATGTTTATTTCTACTTGTATCACATCCTGAGGAGAAGCTTTCTCTCAGCTTACGGATTGTGCAACTTTTGACACTAAAACTACTCCCAAATTAGGGTAGGTCTTAGGTTTAATGTTTCATAAGCTGGAATATCGGTCACGGTCGTTCCAGACCCTAGTTCCAATACTTATCCCCTTGTCATGGAGTATCTCATTCCTGTCTCTTAACATGTCTGCCAGATTTGGTTACTATTCTCTGTATCTCCTCAGAGGCCGATTTGCTGAGGAAAATCCAAAGCAAAGGAGAGAAAGGAAGAGTAATTATCTTTAGAGGAAAAAAGGAATCATGTAGCGGGAAATAAGAGGGACTTAGTGGGATTCATGCGGAGGGTATACTTCCAGAAATCTCCCACTCTGGCACATTGTCCCTCTCCCCTCCACACACACCCATGGGCCCACATCCCCCTACTCTCCACACACAGGCGAGATCTTTGTGAAATCTGTGCAGCATTGCATTGACCTGGCCCAGCTCCTGGTGGAGCAGAACTTGCCAGCCATTGCCATCCATTGCGGGACGCCCTGGGAGGAGAGGTGAGTGAGAGATGGAAAGATGTCTTGTGTCCTTGGGAAGAAATGAGACCCCTGAGATAAAGGACTGTGAACATTTTTATGATTGTCTTTCTGACAAAAGCTTTCTTAGTATCAGTAGTTTAAAGGTCTTCAATAACGAATTCTTGTGGCCAGCAACCTATGTGGCCAAGGCATGGACATTAAGCAGGTGAACTCTACCATCAACTGTCACCGGCCTGGCGATTCCCACACCTACCTGCATCGGGTAAGCTGCACACCCACACGGACATCCCAGTGTCCTCTCCCAGCCCCTGATTTCCTATGTCTTCGTACATTACACCCTCGTCCCTCCTTTTGGGTGTCTTCCTACTTTGGGGTCTTCCAGTGCTACCCTCTGTCCCCTTCCAGGAGGCCTGAGCAGGCCAGTTCCCCCAAGGGCTTGGCCATCACATTTGTGTCAGGTGAAAACATCCTCAGTGAGGTGCAGGGTCACACTGAGGGCAGTAGCAGTGAGCGGCCTGATGAGATGGACATTTTCTCCTCCAGTGAGTACTGATCCCATGAAATTGGTTCCTCCGACTCTTCAGAGTCTCCTTGTTCCTTAGAGACTTTGTCTTGAACCATGTAGTCCAGAGAATGGTGCCTGATGCCTAATGGGTGCCTGACAAGTTTATGTCCTGCGACCTTGATGCCATGTTGGGATGTTTTGTTCATTTCTACATCCGGTCCCTTTCCTCTCTCATCCAATTAATTGTTTTTGCACCCCAGTGTCTCCTCTGACCCCCACCCCACATGAACACCTGCATGTATAGAGGTCTGTGTTTCTGCCGGTCTCACTTAGCCTTCCCATGCCTTATTGTAACTGCACATTTTCACTGCAGTTGCAGCCATGGGAGAGGACGCACCCGTTCACAGAGCCTGATGCAGGTCTCACACCCACGAGCCACGAGAGCCAGGAGATCATACGTGACCTGAGCTGAAATCGAGTCAGATGACTAACCCACTCAGACACTCCTATGGTTTATACTCCCTAATTAATTTCTTTTTAAAAATATTTTAACTTTGAATATAGTTGAAAGACACAATTACATTAGTTTCAGGTGTATAACACAGTGACTCAAATTCTATTACATTTTGTTTTTTTGAGAGAGAGACAGCCAGAGCAGGGAAGAGAGGCAGAGGAGGAGAGAGACAGAGAGAGAGAGAGAGAATAGAGATTCTTAAGCAGGCTGATTCCTGCGGGACTGGATCCCATGGCCCTGGGACCATGAGTGGAGAACCCACTGCCACCCAGGGGCCCTTCACCCTCTGTCTACACCATGCTGTGCTCACCAGAGTGTAGCTGCCACCTGTCACCAGACAGTGATGTTACAGTATCACTGACGATATTCCCTTTGCTGTGCCTTTTATTCCTAAGACCTGTTCCTTCCATAGCTGGAGCCTGTGTCTCCCACTCCCCTCACCCACTGTGCCCACCCTCCCAACCTCCTTCCCTCTGGCAGTCATCCGTGAGTTCTCTGTATTTATAGGTCTGATTCTGCTATTTGCTTGTCTATTTATTCATTTGTCTTGTTTTGTAAGTTCCATATATGAGTGAGATCATATGGTACTTGTCTTTCTCAGTCTGATTTCTTTCACGTAGCAGACACACGGCCCTTTTGTCCATCTATGTTGTCACAAGTGGCAAGATCTCATCCTTTTTGTGGCTGCATAATAGTCTACCGTGTGTATTTGTATATGTGAGTATATACCACACATCTTCCTTAGCCATTTGTCTATGGGTGGACACAGGTTGTATCAGTGTGACTTCTACAAGAACCTCACACACTGAACATCATCTGGGTTGAGGGCGCCCCCTGGTGTCTGGGTCCCTGTCCAGGTGCTGGAGCTGAAGGAGACCCTAGGGAGGGCCTGGCTGAGGTGGAGAAAGGCAGCTGGGTCTTCTCTCCTTAGTCCTGTGGCCTCACGTGGGGTGGAAGGTCAGGGGACATCCCCTACTTCTCTGCTCTCGGGTGGATTCTGACTGAGAAGCCTGAGTGGGGTCTGGACTATAAGTCAGGTACAGATGTCTGAGCAGAAGCCTGGGTGTCAGTGGGGAGAGGAAGAACTTTCTCAACAGCCCTGGACTCCACAGGAGTCAGGCTCAGGGGTGAGGCGTGATTGCAGGAGAGGAGAGCTCAGGAGCCCGTGCCATTGCTGAGGTGTCTGTGTCCCTGTGCACTTTGTCCTCCAGCCCCGTGATGGTGATACGGGAAAAAGCGAAAAGTAGAAACACTTCCTGGGACTTCTATTTCTAAACGTTTCAAAACTCAGTTAAAACAAAAATCATTTCTGATGTGGAAATAGCATCTCAATGTCTATACAATGGTCCTTAGTGTGGACATGCATACTCACAGTTTGTGAGTGGACCTGCATCAGGCTCTGGGCTGACAGCAATGAGTCTGCTTGGGATTCTCTCTCTCTCTCTCCTTTTCCCTCTCTCTCTGACCCTCCCCTGCCTG